TAAATATAAAAAACAATATCATATAATTTTATGATATTACCCAATCAAATTTACAATATGAGCTGAACATGTATTATATTTTAATTGTTGCATAATGGGATTTAAAGCTTCACGAAAACATTTCTTCATATATGAAGTGGAATCAGTAACAATTAATTTTGGAAGTGTAAAAGAAATATCCTATTCAGTTAAAAGCCGCAAAACAAGTCCACCTATAGTTGAATAGTTTACATGCTGCAAATAGTCAACTGATACAAGTTTAGTTATTCCCTTATATGAAAACAACATGTTGACTACACTGCGTCCTCTAACATCCGTTGTTTCATCGATTATAATAGCTACTAGTTTGTTACTAAACATTTCTTGTAAACTTTTCAAATGTTCATTAAAAACCTTTGGCAAGTATGAATGACACAAAGTATCAGCAGTAGGTATGGCGCCACCCTCCTTACAATATATATTTAAAAAACCACAAAACTTATCAAGCTTTTCCAGTGGCATGTCAGCCTCAACCCACGCTGTGACAAGATTACAAATAACTTCTCTTTTTTTATCTGCCACAGTTAAAGATGATAGAAGGCATTGTTGCCGGGTTTTTATTTGTAGAATTCAAGTAAGCTTCACGTTTATTTTTATGAACCTTGCTATTTATATGTCCAGTAACAAAAGCTTTATTCTGGTAATTAACACTGTGGTTGCAAAAACGGCACATGAGTTTTCCGGAATTCAAGACAAAGTCTTCTGAAAACTCTTAGGCATGGCTATAAGCAGTGACTTTTTTGGTTTGTCCCATTGTCTTTACAGTTTTTTTTTTTTTTTTTTTGTTTTATTTAGTTGTGATCAAAACCTTTTTTCGCACCTTTGGTGCATAGAACAAGAATTACCTTGGATATTCAAAGAAATTCATACTTAAAATCGAATAATTTATATATCGTACTGACAATGCATTTCTATTGGCCAGATCACATGTATCCTAAAATCGGCCAAAATTTTTGGCTAAAATTTGGATTAATTTGGGTTAAATACAAAAATTTGGAAATCATAAAATTAGGCGCAAAAATTTGGAAAAATTTGGAAATTTTTGGATCCAAATTTTTACGGGTCCCTGCTCCCGTTCCCGCACTAATATCATTTATCGCAACAATAAATTATGTGCTACATTATATGTGCGTTTAGAGTTCAGCATTTATCCGGATAACTATCAGATATCCCGATCCGAATAATTATCCGGATACCTGAACGTTCTGAATTATCCGGATAATTAAATCCAGATAAACGGGTGACGGATTGGAACTCTATGTGAGTTAATTCTGGACGCTCGTGAGTGCCAATTCGAGACCATATAAATTATTTTTGAAGGACCAGATTTTCAAAATAGCGTTATTTCGCGCTTACCCACGTACAACATATTTATCGTGTAATACTGAGCTCAATAGATCTTCGAATTTAGCCGAATAATTATCGGTCATATACTAAAATTTGAAAACAGCCATAATGAGTAGATCGTGCTGATCCGTATGTTTATGATTTTATTTTTTTTTCTATCTTTTTCTTTATGGGCTTTATGGGAGTTACTATTTCCACCATGGTAATTTGATAATTCCGCTAACATCACAAAATCCGCTTACCTAATCATAATTCTAACCCTACATGTGTATTTATTATTTTATTTTATATATTTTTTTATCCACAAAGAAACCACAGGTGATTATCACCGCAACACAATATCTCAAAAATGTACTAAGTAATTTGGGTTAGGGGTTCTAAGTAAAATTGCTCAGAACTCCGAAAACCTTACCCTAACTAAATTTAAACTAATATACATAACTCCAACCTTAACCTATAGGGGCACCCTAACTCTAAATTTTATATGCGGTGAGATTTAGCAAAGTTCACAAAGAAAATTTTCTCGAACACGTATATCTTTCTTAGGCCAGACAATTTGATTTTCTGTTTAATATAACCCATCCCTTATTTTTTTAAGAACTATAGAAACCAATACACATATTATTAAATAACCTTCCTATTTTCTAAATCTATGTAAGCCAATAAAATTGCAGCATTGGTTTTTTTATCTAATATTGCTGTGTGTTTTTTATAATATCCCACCCCTTTTACAAGTCATCTCATGTTATGCTAAACAGAAAGGCAAGTTGGTCTTGCCTTACTAAAAAAAGGTACAAAATTCCTTTAGTATCCTCATTACCAGATAACGCTTGTAAATTTTGATATTACTGATTCATACTTGCATCACGTTCTATCGTCATACCACAATTACCGATCAACCTCTAGCTTGTACGTACGTACGTACCTTTGTAAGCCGGGCCGGTTGATAAAAAGTGTTGGATCTATCATTCTGAAGTATATTTTAGGCTAAGAAAATCGGATGACAATCATTAATTTATGGCAAGTAACGAATATCAATTATGATAGAAAATGTAAATCTTTGTGTAGTTCGGGCGTGCTAGAATTTCTAGACAAAAGAATAAAATCCAAATAATTTAGTATCACTAGAATTTGGCAAGGAACTACTTGATGAATTTTTCACATTTGATATAGATATGAAGGATAATTCTGATCAGAAAAATTGTATATACGTACGTTCGTACGTACGTACTAGCAAAAAACGGCCCGAGCTTTTTCTATTTTCCCATTTTTCTATCGGTCCGCACTTTCCGGTGATTTACTTATTTTTTCGATATAACACAAACCAAAAAAGGATTTTAAATAAAAAGTGCATAAAGGAGATGCTTAAGGTTAGTTAGTCACTCACTATCGCTATATAAAATTTCCTGATTTAGAGGTCGTCTAAAGCCAGGTATATAGTTTTAAATTGATTAATAACAAATTTCGTAAATTAAAATCATGTGATGCATACAATTACTCCTGAATTTAGTATTCAGATTCGCACTCTCTGATTAGCAATTTCATTTGTATTATTCGAGAAATCAGTGGCTGCATCATATATTTCCTCGTAGCGAGAAGGGTTTTTACTCTTTGTTCTGTATGATGTCATGATGGTGGTTTAATGACAACCAGCGAAAAGACAAATTTCTGAAAACGCTTATTATTTCTCTGTTCACCGGGGTAGACATTGTACCAAATAGTTTTATCAGAATTATAATGTATAAATTACCCGGTAACCAGGTTATTTTAATATTACCTGGGTGGCGATTTTCCACGGTATAATCTTTATACAGTGAAACCTCTCTAAGTGCATTCTCTATAAGTGCACACACAGATTCTGGCCCAAATGTATTCATGATTCCGTAAATGCACTTTTTCTTTGTTCTCTAAGTGCACGTCGTTAAATTCTGGTCCCGAGTACGTGCACTTGGAGAGGTTTCCTGTACTCGGAAATAACAAGCATTTGTTTTTCACTGACTAATGATTACATACGTCATATAGAAACGTGGAATGACAATAATAATTCTGGGTAAATTTTATGCAATAATACATCATATAGTTATTGGATGTGTGGAGCAGTAAACAATCTTTTTAATTCAGGTTACAATAAAATAAATAAAAAATATTTAAAACTTATAAGGCTAATTAGAACTTAGAGGGTATAATAAATGATAAATTTATAAGCTTATTTAAAACTTAGAAGTTAGCCAACCAACTTAATGATCAGCTGTTCTCTTTTAATACGAATATCAATTTAACATATTCCTTAATTTTGAATCTGATCTCTATAAATCTAACATCTTTAAAAACGAGGTAATGTAAAATATAAAAAAAAATTTGACAAGTTTCAATAAAAGAAAATTACTTAATGACTATCGCCTTCATCTACAGTATCGTATTCTTCCTCACTATTGTTATTGTTATCTTCTTCTTCACTTTTAACATCATTTATATTAAAGGTTATAGTTTCATCTTTTTTAATTTTCTTTAAAAAATAAATATGATCATCTCCGTTCATTTTTTTAAAGAAATCGGGTGCAATCTTTGAATTAAAGAGTGAATTCTCTGTAATTATACCATCCAATAATAAAAAATTTATGAAACGAAGTGCAGTCCAAATTCTTCTTTCCGCTCTTTTATCTATATGAAGCATGGTCTGCATTTGATATGAAATCCAGCTTCGTTTACTTTTTTTTGATGAATTTTTTCCAATTGGAATTTTATTCTGGATTTTGTATTTGATTGTTGTTTTATTTCCTTCGGGTGGCATTTGATTGACAACCCTTTTCAAAGCTCTATAAGCTAAATTAAGATTAAGAAAATGCCTCCATTTAACATATTCGATGTTACATTCAAGATTGAGTAAAATCACGTTTCTTGCTTTCCAATTATTGAGACCATTTTGAATAGATGAAAGATTATCACCAAATTCGATGTCATTGGCATATATTTCCATTGGAACAACTGAGTATGGAACTACTGAATGTGCAGTTACCCGTCCTTCTTTATTACTTTGAAAAAGCAGTTGGTCGATAATTTTATCCATTCTCTTTTCTAAATTAAATTTATATCAATAAGAAAAATATTCCTTTTCAGGTTATTATAAATATATAAGTGAAAGAAAATATAATTACTTTTTTTCAACTTTTTATCTTCACTTATTTTTTGAACGACGGTGCCTTTTTTTGGATAATCAAATTTTAAAAAAAAATATTAAATTATAAACATTAAATGAAATTTTTAAAAATAATAAAATCTTACTTATTTCTTTTTCCTGAATCGAATATTCTTCTTCATATTCTCCATTACTCTCATAGGTAGTTGCCACATTATTCCTAAATTTTTTTACTGATGATGATCCACTGGACGTTATTCTTCTTTTATTATTAGGAGTGGGTTTGGAAATAATTTCAGACTGGATGTCAGCGGGACCTTTAGAAACTAAAATTAATAATTTATTTTGATATTTTAAATCAATATATTTACATGATACTCACCAAAGGTTTTTTCGGCCTTATGCACCCAGTGAGCGACGGGAAATTTATTGGATAAATCCCAGTTTCTTAATGCGAAAATCCAAGAAAGATATTTTCTTTTTTCAGCCTCATCGGATGGATTATTTAATATTTCGGTATGTCCAAACACTTCATGAAATTTTGCATTAATACATTCCCATTTTTCTTCATCATTCTTTTCAGTACCTATTTCATTAAAGATCTGATTTAATATTTCAGTGCGTTGGTCTTCCAAGGAAATAATATTCTTTGTTTTCTTTGTTCTGAAGCTGACTGGCTCTTTCAAATCATAAGTGCTTTTAATTCTGTAGTCTTCATATTGATTTCTTATGTATTTTCCGTTGTTTTCAAGACTTGCAACGTTTCTTTCAACAGAAATACTTCCATCTTCGTTAAAAGTTATGGATTCGATTTTTCCAATGCATGTATCCTTTATTCTTGCCGCTAGTACTAAGAAGTCTTCAGAGAGTGGGTATTTTTTATCATAGTCTTTTGTTGTCATTCTGATAAAACGAATTTCAACAAGCAAAAAAATTAGATGGAAAAATTAACGATCTGATTAAAATAAGAGCCTATATATATACAAATCATGAGGGTATAAACGCCCTCAAACTTATACCATAATCATATTCTATAATGGGCCCTTTATAAGTGCACCCTCTATAATTGCATTCACATGTATTTCCTTCTATAAATACACATCATAATGATCGGCTTATGTAACATTATATGGAGTATCAGTCCGATGGTATGGGCATAGCCAGGGCGGCCCCCAAAGTGCTAGTGACGTAAATCATTTTCACCAATCAGGTAATACTACATATTTAAAGGTGATTTAATCTATAGATTGGTACTTTGAGGGGGCCACCCTGGTTATGTTTTGATTGATGACACCCACGTTACAATTAGATATGTCCCTATTCTCAATACGTGCACATTTTATAAGTGCGCAACATTGGTCTAATGAACTCCTACAGGGAGATCCCCAAAATTCCGGGTCGGACGCTTCGGAACTCTTGCCGGAAGGGTCGGAGTTGATCAATTTTGCCCCAAGATCACTAAGAATTTTACTAATGAAACAATAGTCGTTCATTAAGTGAAAAATGCCCAGCTGATAATTTTACTATAGCATATAGCTCCCGCTAACCCTAACTCAGCCCTAACCCCGACCCTAACCACGACGTATTCCGGCCATTACGACCCGGAAATCTGGGGATCTCCCTGTAGAAAATGGTCAAATGCAGTGTTATCAAACTATTGGACGTATGCCAATATTAATATGTAGATTGCTCTCAATAAGCGCACATTCTACAAGTGCATTTTTCCCCGACAACGTGCACTTAGAGAACAAAAAAAGTAATCAAGCTCCTATTACCCCCAAATTTTGGGTTGTATGCAGATATCTGGAACAGTCTTAATTTAAAAATATAATGTGCAGTATTTATGTTGTGCGTGAGGTGTGCATCATCCTAGTGATCTACAAGTATAGGCTTTTTGTGGATCACACATGATCAGCACGGACGTAATAAACTTAGACCAAGCACTATTTGATGCAAGGATCCACCTGTTTATGAAGTATATACTGTTTGAGATACATCATATAAAAAATATAATAAATTGATATTAAACAAAGTTAACCAAAAAAAGTTTTTTTTTTCCACTAAATGGCCTTTTTATTTGACTGTAGTTTGTCTTTGGAATATCAAAGATTTGCTCTACTTCATAATTGATTGAACGTGGTGACATTAAGCACGGATCTGGATAGGATTATCCGGAAATCCGGAAGAATTTGGGCTAATGAGATAAATTATTTGGATGCAACGGACGAATCTTCAGACATCCGGATGAATTATACTAATGGATAAATTGTTCCTTAAGCCGTAACAGTTTCTACCGTATTTTAATCATGAAAAGTATGTAAATAATTTTTTTTCCTATTCCATTAGGATCAGTATTTTGTGATCTCTGAGTATTAATTTTGAATAAATCTTAATAATAGAAATGCTTATCAAATAGGAACCATATGAAAGTATTAAATTTCAGGTTGAACTACATTTGTACCGTATAAGGTTAATAATATATTGCGGTATTATGCGGATAATCCGGGGAGTTAAGCGGATATTCAGTTTATTCAGGGTAAACCGCATGTTGGTTACGGATAAGCAACCAGGTTAACTGATAAGGATAATAAAATGCTAATATGGGATACCCGGATGAGCTAACGGATATTCAGATCATCCGGATTTAAGCACTAGACCCAATTAGACTTGATCATTCGAATCTTTGAGGCAAGATTAAGGATGCCGACAATATAAATTTATAAACTTTATATATAATTGCAATACATTTAATTAATACTAGCAGTTGGCATTTTATTTTAAAATTAATCTGGCAGTTAATTGTTATCGATTGCAATTTCTAAGACCTCATCGATAATATTTAATGTTTTAAAGTCCCTATTTCTACGACCTTTACCTGATATTGATTTAGATCGCGGTTGAAATTTTTTGCAATACAGTCCGTATTACTAAATACTAAAAAAAAAAAAAAAACAGAATAAGATCTGATATATCTTCAACATTAAATTCGCTATAAATGTAACAGAATTTGTAGAGCAACAAGAACAGGTGTATTCGGATTCATATTATAAGACTTGGCATTATTGAAAATGACGTTTGTATTAAATATTGCACATAGAAAATTTGGGATAGGTTACGTTAACTCCGATCTTATATCAATGTGAAATCATATAATCCTTGGCATTAAAGATGGGCAAGGTAATAACTAATAATTACTTTTTTTCTATCTTAAGTACCAATCTGGAAAGTAAATTTAAACTCGACTTTATTGATCGTTGCATATGCATATGGTTCCTGGCGCAAAAGACTTTGACTTTGATATGCTAATCTACTTAATATTATAGCTATATTGATACTACAATACTTTCACAGATTTTAACTAATATCTATAGTATATACATACTAATTTATAATCTAAATCTACCAAAGTAATACAAGTACTTTGAATTTTCATGCCTTATATATACCTTATTAGGATTTTACTTTTTTGTAGAGTTTATCTAAACCCCAATACCTATATACTAATCTTTTTCTAATTCATGAACCGTCTTTATTATTAAAAATAAGTAATAACGATAATACAGTAACTTACTTTGCCCATCTCTACTTAGCATAAAAGATTAGGTATAATGTATGGTTGTGTGATTTGCAATCAATCGAATCGCAATCACCTGATTGTCTTCTCACGACGTACATAATATTTTTTATTTTATATTTGTTATATTATTTTCTGTTTCATTCCCTTATCTGCAAATATTAGTATTGGTTTATTCTGGGCTTAGTATAGATTTGCGTCTTGTTAGAACCTGTTGGGAGTTTGTATTAACGGTCTTTCACATGGATCTGTGATTGTGTCGGATCCCAAATTGGAAACAGTAGCAGATCCTAAGTGAATTGGAGCGATGTATGTCCAGCTGGAGGCGATTTCTGAGTGGAGGGAACGATTATTGATTAGATAGGAGTGGGACTGTAAAAGTAGTGATGACTGTGTAAAACAGAGTGAATTCGCTCCATTTAACATCATGTATAAAAGTGACTCTTAATCCACTCAATAAAACGGATATTTTCAGTCAAATTAATTAACATATAGGAAGCAGGCAGTGTTGGCCGAAGAGACTTAACTAAATCAGATGTCTCCCCGCATATTGTTATTTATATTAATCTTTATGTCGTTATTGATGTTATATAAACTTTGTGATTATTGTCTCGTAATTGTTATTCCGAACCCATCTTTGTTATCTGTTAACTGTAGGGTTCTTACCCGGGTCGAATAACCCGTACGGGTTACCCGACCCGACGGGTCACGGGTTTTGTCTACCTGGGTCAGTTACTTAGTTTTCCCGGTTTTTCCGATGTGGTAAATGAAAGAACTTAAATCACGAGCAAGGTGGAGAAATTTTTCTGAAATGAAATCTGAAAATACGAAAGTTATTGGCCTTGGCATATATATATTATTGACCCGGGTCACTATTTTTCGACCCGGGTAAGATCCCTACATTATACTACTCTCATGTAACAGTATTTGGATCTGAAACTTCAAACACTGGTTATATCCCAAGCAAATTGAAGAAGTAATTTGCGAATAAAAGTCTGTATCACTAGACAAGCTTTCAAAAAATTCTATCAATTCGACCAATAGTTTCCGAAGGTTTAGGTTATGTGCGTAAAAATCAAATTTTCTAATAAAAATACAGTAATTTATAAATAATTGAACGTAAGCAATTAATATTGTATAATAGTTATCAATTACAACACTTCAGGTGAAATGAACATCCAAAAAAAAAAAAAATAGAAACAAACATTATGCAGTAGATAAAATTTTACTTAAGGAATGAACTTAATGTTACCTTCCTGGTTTAAGCGTGACTACGTCGCGCAGCTACCCTAATTTCATAGTAGACTGTTTTGCACTCTTACTTGCAAGGTTGGCAATGGAGTCCAATGAACCCAATGGAGCTGCGAATGGAGCCAATGGAGCTCTGAATAGAGCCAATGGATCCTAATTTTTCTGAGCTCAAATGCCAACCCTGCTTACTTGTTCTTGTTTTTGATGCCATAATTTCCTGAATTTGATTCATGTACGCCAAAAATAATTTCTGAAGCATTAAAAAAATTTTTTTTTCTAATCTTTATCTAGTATTATTGTAGGAAAAATCTATAATTACCAGCAAACAAAATTTTAGCATCATTAAAATAGCTAAACGTTTAGATCTTTTAAAGGATGAGAATTTCAAAAATATTTATATAGTTGTTTTTAACATTATGTATCTAATTCTTAATCATGCTATGGACTTACCCATATAGATCACCCTGGATCATACATAAAAAGAACTACCCCAGTATCGCCAGAAAAATTCTACAGTCACGTGGTGATCGACGGCAAATTAGCCAATAATTGATTGTTATTTGGTGTAACGTGACACGATCAGGAAATCCAAACCTTCGTTTTGCAAAAAAAAACAAGAAACGCTTATTTCTCAAAAATTTGCATAAGAAATCACCTGTGCATTAACAAAAGGTTTTCCTTGAGCGATTTTACTGCTAAAAACTCTCACAACCCTAGCCTTAACACAGACCCTAACCCTAACCTAAACGAACTTAAAGATTTTCGACACGATCACGTGACAGTAAAATTTTATGGCGATACTGGGGAAGACCATAAAAAGTCAGCAGTCACATGACTTTAAACCAATTACGACACAGGATCAGGTGTAACGTGAAGACAAAACAAACTGCCCGGCTTTCAAAATTTCGATTATAAAATCTCCTGTTGCAAAATTTATTATATATAAGCCTCCCCTAACCCTAACCCGAATGCTCACCTTACTTTAACGTTGAGTTAATCTTTTAATCGAAAAAATGTATTGACGATCTGCGGTTTAAATTGGCCAATGGAATTTTAGCGCGCGTATCATCACGTGCC